GTATATAGTATAGTTTAGTACTATACTATAGTATAGTACTATAGTATAGTACTATACTATCTACTATAGTATTATTTAAGTAATAGATATATTTTAAATGAACTATGTTTAAGATAAAATGTTGTAAAAATTAACTTTAGTTTGTGAAAAATTCATTTATGTGGTACTCATTCTGATGCTTGATGTTACTATTTGTACAGTCACAGCCCTAAGTGTGTAACTGCTATCTGGTTAAAAAAAATGAGTACTGATTCCTGGCAGTTTCACATTTTTGCAGAACTAATGGGTCTAATTGAATTTATGTGTTACCATGGTCTGTTTTTCCTGATAATTTTAGTCCTGATGTGGATAATGACAGAATTCAAATGCTAGATACCAAGGTAACCAAGAGATGGGTCAGGTAATTATGGTGTTAGTGAAGTTGGTGCTTAACATGTTTTCATTATGTATAAGCTGCAAATAAAAAAGGTAATCTTAGCTATTGTGTTTACAGTGAAAAGAGGAAGTGTTGATTAGCATTTTCAGCATTTAAAGTACAAACAATTTTTGAACTTTGGAATGCAGCAAAGATTGTGAGCATATATAGAACACCATTGACTTAAAACAGGAAGCAAATATAAAAAAAAAAAGATGCTAATTTCTTCTTCACTGTAAATATTTGGTTTTCACTATTCCCCTTCCTGCCTTCCTGATCTCTTAACTGCTATTGATGGCCCCAGAGCATAAATATGCAGTTCTGCCTGATCTGGGCCTGCCTGACCCCAAAGCCTGTAGTCAGATTGTTTACATTTGCCAGACTACCTCCTTTTAGGACCTTTATCATTATAACATACTATATATTTCTTGTATTTGAAATGTTTCATAATAAGTACTTATGATGTAGACATTCTCTCATTTTTTGAATTTTGTTGGTAAAAATCCCCAGTAGATGTCTGTCATGAATGGAAACTATTATGTAAGGTTTTGGGATCTATTAGATCCCAAGCTTCAGTCTTGGCTCTGTCATTTACTCTTTCGTGACTTTGGGCAGGTCTCTGAATCTCTGAGTTTCATTATCTGTTAAAGGAAGACAATTATTTCAACATATTGTTGTTGCATGAATGATACATTTAATAAGTAGCCTGCTGATTTCAGAAACATTGCTAAGGGCTTTGTTTGCTTCTTTGTTTTGTTGTTTTTTAAGGAGGTGGTTATGCTTGAAATTTTAACTTTTTTTCCTCTGTAGATAACAGACAAGAGAGTATCCAGAAGACATGCCGTTCTTGAGGTGGTGGGTGGTCAGCTTCGAATCAAACCGGTAAATATGTTATTAAGGATTTATTTTAACCTTGTATCTCTCACCCTTTGAGTTCCTGATTGGAGGTGCTTATTTTCTCAGGTAATGGAAATAGGAAATTAATGTCAGAGTATATCCTTCTCATTGCCAGAAGATAATTAGGCGGTGAAGATCTAAACTATTAAAACTACATCTTCTCATAGGACAATGCTACATTTACACAGTTAGAATTTTTTGTTTTTTTCTTTTTTAGAGACAGGGTCTCACTCTGTTGCCTAGGCTGAAGTGCAGTGGTACGATCATAGGATACTCAAACTCCTTGGCTCAAGCCAAACAATTCTCCTATTTCAGCCTCCTGAGTAGCTGGGACTATAGGCATGTGCTACCACACTCGCCTAATTTTTAAAAAATTTTTGTAGAGATGGGGTCTTGCTATTTTGCCCTGGCTGGTCTTGAGCTCCTGGCCTCAAGCCATCCTCCCTCCTTGCTTAGGATCCTGTAATCCCAAAGTATTGAGATTATAGGTGTGAGCCATCATGCCTGGCCATTAGTTGGAATTTTAATGAAAGATGACTAGCAGTTCATGTATGTATTATGATTTTGTTTATAACTAGATATTACAAATAAGATCCCTTAAGAAAGCCCATAATTATGTAATGGTTGGTTGGTGGAGGTGGGGTAAGGACCACAGTTGCTGAAATGTTATAGTGTTGTATTTTTACAAATTTATGTATCTCTGTATGTAGAGTTGAGTATTTCTAAAATTTAGACCTTGTTCAACTTCAGGGTTTTAAAAATAATTTTAATTTGAAAATTTATGTTGAGGGCTAGACTTTTTGAATTGTGTGCGTTATAGTTTTTTTTTGTTTTTTTTTAAAAGTGATTTTCTCTGGTAGTGTGTTTTAATTTCTTACTTTTTATTTTTGTGTAACTGTTGTAAGTATTTTGATTTGAGTTTAACATGAGGCTTGCAAAAAACATTTTATAACCAATTATTTTAAACACATGACAACTCTGCTTACAAACAAATAGTGTGCTTTATAGTTTACTGATGTAGACTTACGATTTTCAGGGACAGCTAGTTTCCAGGAATATAGTATGTAATTACTCCCTTTCATTTGCAGAATCTATTGTATAGGAGAATGAAATATGTGTGTAAGGGTCCATTTATTTTGGACTAGATGGTGTGGTGATAAACTTATTATTATGGAATTAAATTCATTAATTTATAACATTTTTAAATCAATTTGTATTTTCATCTTTTATGTACAGCTGCCTGTCGTGTTCTTTCCTTTACACAGAGAGTACTTCCTTTTATTACCCTATGTTAAATTGTTCCCAAATTTGAAAAACATCTTTTTAATTGTACTGGGAAATTTTTTGACTAAGCTAAATTCATCCTATCTTAACTTTGAATAAATAATTTTTAAAAAGGTTTGTGTCTCATTCTTATTCTGCATTGTCTTAGAGTTAGTATCTGTAGTCAGCACTCCTGAGGGAGCCCTTGCATTACCATTAAGTTATTCATCTCTGGAGCTTCTCCAACTTTCTTATTCTTCTTAGATGAGACATACTGCATCATAAACTCAAGTAGAGGAACTCTGACAAATCTTTGTATCTCCTTGTATTTAGCATGATGCCTAGCAGATAGTAGATAATTAATATTTGTTGAATGCATGAGTATATGTCGTGGTGAGGACTATATGTGGCATTTCTAGGACTGGAGACATCACGATTTTTACAAACGTATGTTATTTTCTAGTAGCAAATTTCTAACACCCTTCTAATGAACTACCATGGCCTAAAATAAAGAAGGTTTTTGCTGTTGTTACTAAACACATTAAGGGAAAGAATATAGGGATCTCTAAATTCTTATCCACCTTTTCTGATAAGAATATATTATTATTAATAGTTTAGATTTACTTTTTGCAAAAGAGCAATTATGGCTGTTAATACACCTGGTTCTTCAAGTGAAAGATCCATGACTTAACACAGACTTTCTGTAAGATTTAGATTCACTCCTCTTTAATTCATGTTAATGAGTTAGTACTAGCTATGAGTTAGTACTTATTTTTTGATGGGTATATCATTTAACTAGTCTTTGATGATTGAATTTCTAGTATTTTTGTTTGTTTGTTTTATACCAGAGCAGAGAATTTCAGCTCCTAGAGTAGGTTTATAGACATTTGTGGATTTGTATTGTTAATATTCAAATCCTGCTGGTAACTATGTATGCAGATATCACAGAAAATAATAATAATACTTTTTACTCCACTTATAAAGGCAACTTGATTAATTCCTATAACTCCTATTGTTTTTGCAGCTTTGTTTTTGCTCCAAGTGATATCTGAAAAATTTATAGTAGCAGAATATTTGTAAATAGTGAAATGATCCATTTTAAGAACTCAGCACATTTATTTGTGAGCAGGTTAATCAACTGAATTGTGACCAACTGAATAAATATCAGGTTTTCTTTTCACACACTTTATTTACTCAATGCTAAGAAGGCCTTATAACAAAATTCACATGGCATTAAATTTTTATATATAAAAATAGGTCGTTAGGAAAACATTATATTTACTAATGCATGAATATTTTAAACTTATTTGCATTTTTTTTCAGTGTTAATCAAGGACATTTATGTTTAAAAATCAGAATGTTTTCCAAATTGGCTTAATAAAGGTGCTTAGTTGGAGTTGTGTATATCCTTGGATGAAAAGTATTCAGATAGATTTTGTACTTCTGTGGCTATTGAGAAGTGTACTAATAATATAAAATAAGTATGCCTAAACTAAAAATGATTTTATTAGTGAAAAATACTCTCTTTGAGTTAAACTTTATCCAGTATGTAGTGGGCCAAATTTCTATGTGGGATTTTGGTAATGTTCAATTAAAAGAAGGCTCCTTTTTGAAAATACTCTTCCTCTTTCTGGATCTTTAATTAGATAGAACTCAAATAATAAAACAATTGTGTATAACATTAACAAGTGTCTTTTGTACACCAAACTGTAGTAAATGTAATATTAGAAGCTAGAACAAAAATTCCTTATAAGATTATAG